GGAGACACAAGAGGGATTAAAAGAATATTGTGGAGGGCAGAGCAGTTGGGGACAGCCTCAGAAGGATGCAAAGAAATAGAGTTGTTGCTGTTCAGCTGTTTTACTGGAAAACATTAGAGAGAAGAAAAGTGGACAGACTTGCTCTACGGTAATTGAACCGGCCTTGACCAAAGCTAAGAGCTGTTGCTTTCGTACTCCCCTCATCATTTATGCACTATTTACCGCTTGCATACACACATCTTCTAAGTTAATTTGGTGCATTTCTTGGAACTGAGTTATGCATGAAGCTTACAGGTATTATATTATATAAAATATTCAATGGTATTTATTATAAAATTAGAACCGCTTGTTCCAACCGTGTGTTAAGGATGAATAAGCAGATGAGAAACGATTCCTGTTTGGTATTTATTATTAATGCTGCCTTTTAAATACAGTGTGGGCACATCAGTGATTACAGGATGCTCTGCAGCAAGGCAACGGAAAAGCATATTAGCACTGCCAACAGTAATCACAAATCCTCCCAGTAAAGCAATGAATTGTTTGATACAGTTCAAATATACATGATTTACTTGGAAGCTTTAAGTTTATTCCAACTAATAAACAACGTATATTTTTATAGTCAAGAAATCTTAGTGTTAGAATTAAATGTTAAAAGGATGGAGACAGGTTCAAGCATTGGTAGCTTCTTTTACCATAATGGGCTTTGAAATGAGAAGTAATGCGTTATGTGGCAATTATTTCATAGAATGGTCACAGGCCCATATTTGGGGCTTTGATTGGATTTGGTTGACCAACGATAGCCTGTGAAGCTCAGTGAGTGCTAGAGCGACACGTGTCCTTTTTGGTTGCTCAGACACCAGACGGTCCACCACATTCTGAACCATCTGTAGACTAGAGGTTTCACTGCAAGTGTGGAAATGTTGAGGTGAGAGATTACCACGGCCTGTACCCACAGTTGGGTGGAAAACTGAGTGGATGTAGTATAAAGAGTGATGCAACATTGTCAAAAGACTGGTCACTGGTGACGCCCAAGTTTCTCACAAGCTGAATGGGAAAAATAAAGCCAGACATTATTTACTGAATCAAATAGAAATGCGTGGGCCAGTTAGTATATTCATCTTGGTTGTGGCAATATGTTAGACAAGCTGAATGCATATTTAGCTGTAGGTCGACTGTGATTTTTCATGGCTGCTTTCTCGCTGAAGTCAAACATGGAAATTCCTTTCATTGGATTTTTACCGCCAAAGGGGCTTTTTTCTTAAGGTAAACTCTCCTGAGACTCACAAGAAAAACATTAGTCAAGTCTAGAGACATTTAATTCAATTAAAAGATAATACGCTAATGGAAAAGGAGAGAAAAAACATGCAGATGATGGCTAAATTGATTTTGATTTACGGTAGATGTAAACAAAACAATGGCTGAGGTGTTGTGTATACCCGCCTCCCAGCAACAGCTTTGAGCCTCACTCATAAGCTGTGGTTATATTAATATATAAACCATAAAAATGTTCTTGGACCCCTACAGTTTACCTTTTATACCACCTTGAACAGTTTGGCTGACTCTGAACCTCGATAGATGTTGGTGTGTGAGGTTTGACTTATACACAAGTGCTGTTACATCACTCTGCATCCTACCTTGGCCTTGTTTTATTTTTTAGCTCTCAGCTCTTGGACCTGGACCGTCTCTCTGGGGAATCTCCCTGTAGACTCAAATGTAAGGCTAAACGTTGACTGCCAGAACTGCTAAGTGAACAAATGGCTTTCTAGAGCAGAAAAGCTACTTAAACACCCCCGCTTTCACACCACTTTAGTGCAGGCATCTGTGATTCAGTGTGGTGAATAAGGATGGTCTCCGAGTGTACGTACGTTACGATCGCAGTTTTTTTAAAGGCTGTTTTGTGTTTCAGGTTTGACTTTAATGGGAAAAATCGAAATTATAATTATTATTACTTTAAGTTTTCAACATTATTAGAAAACCTTTATCTAATATGTGAGTAGAAAGTCTGAGTCTCTGTTTATCCATTTATATAAAATGGACAAAAACCAGCCTTGATTGGCCAAGTGGAAACCATCAAAAATTCAAATTACACCTTTCAAAACTGAAAAATAAAGCTACAAACCAACCATGCTCTCCTCCCGAACTGCCAGAAACAACTGTCTTCATAATGGGACCCGTTTAAGTCAGCGTGCATCTTTTCCTACCTGTCGGAATGGGTTTGAGATTTTAGAGACAGCAGGAAACTCTGCTCAGTCAGATATTCAGGTAAAAATGATTAGGGATCCCGATTTAAGAAAAGCACCAATGTTCATCCAGCGTGTGAACAGAAATACTCTTTCATTATGATTTTTGTTGCTAGATTTAGTCACATCTTTGCTAATAACTCAAGGATTGTTTAATCGGTTTGAAGAAAACTGGAAAATCGTGAATTCACGGACAGTTATGCTCTGTTTTCCTGTTTTAGCCAACCGTCGTGACTCGACGCCAACTAGAAAAAGAGCTATTTTAGACTTCATAACATGACCTGTTTATGTCTGCGTGCATCTTTTCCTACCTGCTAGCGTAGGCTTGAGACTCTAGAAACACCTGAGTCAGAGGCATTTAGCATAATAACCTCAGGGTGTCCGCGGGGTTTTAAAAAGTATTAAAAAGTGATAAATAAAAATAGTCAAATTTAAGGCCATTAAAAGTGTTAAATTTGGTCTCAGAGGTATTATTTTTTCCAAGTTAGGTATTATTTTTTTCAGACTATCAGGTGTCGTATTCTGAACATCGACATAGAAATATATTCCGAATGAAATGTTTTGAACGATTATAAAAATAAAACAAGCCGATTATTTGCTCCTCCCACTTGAGCTGCCCTGAGTTACAAATGAAGCGCTCCGTTGCCAACTTAGCGACTTTGACTCTATTTCTAGCAGCTTTTCAGACCCCCTTCTTGACTTTTTAAATCTTAAAAGTACCTAGCGAACACCTCAGAAACATCTCTGGTAACCCTTAGCTACTTTCTGGATAACTGTCGTCGACATTTCCTGCAGGTTAGCTAAACACTCCGCCTGCGCTCCGGACCATTCTTCAGGACATTAGGAAAGGGAATGATGTAGTGATGTGTTGGTCGCTAAAGAAACGGCTCTCAGAGTCGGCTCCCTGTTGGATTAACCAGAGTGAGTGACACACACACCGCACCTGCAGACTGCTGAGCCGCTAAAAACGGCTAAATGTGCGCGTGCGGCACGCTAAACACACATGCAGCTTGCCCCTGATTGCTGTGAGACCGGGTTGGGGGGTGGGGGGGTGCAGCTGTGGTTGGGACAATTATTACATTAACTGATGGACTTGTAAATAAATAGTTTATAAATCAGGTAGAAATAAGTTCCTCACACTGATAAATAATAACTAATCTCTCTGAGGACATGGTGCTAGTGCACTCTCCTACAGCACCTTGACATGACTAAATAAATGTTATGCAACATTTTGTGAACATCAATTTATTTGCATTTATTTGTTATAAATGCCACTGTATAATTCTTGCTGTCAGTATTTGCAAGATACTGGTATTTGGGTCTGTACTGGTTAGACTTAAATGAGTTAAACCAAGGTCTATAGCCCTTGGGTCAGAGACTATGAGCTATAAGTATATTGGTCTTTTTATACTGGGAATCAGGAGTTATTTTAGTGATCATCTTGTTTCTTGTTTATTTTTGCCCTGATTGTGCCCTGAGCAGTTTTATGACTGAATAAAAACAAATAAAAAAAATCTACATAAATTGAAAAATCGTCTTAAATAATCGAGATCTCAATTTCAGTCACAATAATCGTGATTATTGTTTTTGCCATAATCGAGTAGCCCTACTTTAGCATATCCGGTCACATAATGATGACATCATATTCAGTGGTCGTTGTGCATCATTTCAGGCCTCGTGGTCAACTGTCTGAACCGCTGAACAGAAGTGCCTGGCTTATTTTCTAAGTAAAATAAATATGTGCAATACATTGTCAACATCAGTGAGTCTCTAAGTCTATTCTTTTTGTATGTTATATATGTTAAAATATGTGTAAATAGGTCGCTGATTAACACTTGCAATTTAGTGTTGTGATGGTTTTAAAAAAATTCTGAAGGTAGTAAAAAAAGTATTAAAAAGTAGTAAATTTTACTTAAGGATTGCTGTATATACCCTGAACCTAAACAATCACGCTTCTCTTGGGAAGTTCCATGAACGCCCAGTCGGCTGCCAAATTGCTCTCCACTCGTTTGTCGACCTCCTCAGTGTAACGCGCTGAAGGAGAGCGTCCGAGTGAGTACGGAGGAGAGAGTTGTAGACATTGATCACAATAGGTATAAATTCAATAGATCAGAGTTCTCTGGCTGAATTTTCTCTGCTCTCTTGTAGAAATGTCAAACCCACACATGCCTAGCAGTCCCCCCCACCCCACGCTCACACACACACATACACACACTCTCTCGGAAGGTAATGATACAGTCTTCTACGAGATCTCAAAATGGTCTTCCTACACTGTTTCCTTCTCTCAGTGTGTGAAAGTGCTCTGAGCAAGAACAGCAATAATAGAAAACAGGCTCTGCCTTTTATCCCATACAAATCACTATCGCTGCTCTCATCCTCACCATTTAGCCCGTCATTACTGCCTCCCTGTTCCACCATTAAAACATTGAGAGCAGCTTGGCACCACTTTTCTTTTTCCTTTCTCGATTTATTTTTGGGATCTGGTGTTAGCCGCATTTTAAATTCCGCAATTGTTTAAATATTAGATAAGCTTCACTGGCGTTTTAGTGCTTCTGAATTGGAAAACCACTTGAGTCTGCTCATTGATGCCATTTTTTTTTTACAAAGCTAACGGTTTTAGCAACACATACCTAATGGATTTTGAGTTCAGCACGGATATTTTTTTCCAGCTTGTGAATTCGGAGCTGAAATACGACCGCGTTAGGATTTGTGTCTGGTTTCACTTAAATGAGATTGTTTCCTCTGCTTGTTCTTCCCTAGATGTGGCCAACGGCAGCACGGGCTATAGGCCTCCCCCCCGGACCAAGGAGATCCTCATCAACGGCCAGACAGTCAAGCTCAAGTACTGCTTCACGTGCAAGATCTTCAGACCACCACGTGCCTCCCACTGCAGCCTCTGTGACAACTGTGTGGGTGAGTTCTCATTTTCTGGATATTAGCTGGATTTTTGAGACGTATGCAAACACCCCGTCTGTCCATCAGTTTAGAGGATTTTAATAGGAGACCCATCTGGATTTGATGAGCAGTCTAGCAGCAACATAATTGTTGGAGGTTGTTCTGAAGCTGCCCAGCTCTCCTCTTAGTGGACTCTCCGGTTTACACTGGTTTAAAGTGTTTGTGATGACTCAAGCCAGACTAAATATCTAAATTATGATGCATGCATGCTGGGAGTTTTTAGTGCATGCCATAAGCTTTGGATAGTTGAACATCAACAACATTATTTACCTAAAATAAAGAGCCCAGCAGTTCCTACACTTTCTGTTAGGGATGTCCTGTTCTTATATCTATATCGGCCCAAAAACACTATCGGATTATATCGGACTGCATCAAAAATCTCCGATATCAGCAGTCTGTTAAGGTTCACATTTTTGCAACCAATGGTTAACAAAAAATTGTCTCTTTTTTTCATACTTACTGTTATTGGCTCTTGTTCTCTGATTGAGCAATATAACTTGATCAAGCCTTTCATACAGTCCACACTACGAAATACATAAAAGTGTGTATAATTTGTGCTGATATCGTATCTGATTGATATCGGTATCGGTCAGTAGTGAAGGCTGCAATATCGTTATCGTATCGGAAGTCAAAAAGTTGTATCGGGACATCCCTACTTTCTATGATGGCTACAGAGTCACCACTGAGAGCTTCCTGGCCAGCTGCATCACAGCCTGGTGTGGAAGCTGCTGCGCCTCCCACCGCAGAGCTCTTCAGAGAATTGCGCAGACTGCTGAATGCATAATAGGTAGTAGCATGTACACCTCCCGCTGCATCCGTGAGGCCATCAGCTTTGTGGAGGACCCCCACCACCCCTGCCATGAACAGTTGACCCCCCCTTCCATCTAGTAGAGGTTTTGGCAGCATCAGGAGCAGATCTCCTCGGCTCTGCAGTAGCTTTCCCATGTAGCCTGGCTCCTGAGCACCATGCTGCCCCCTCCACACAGAACTGACTATACCACACTCTGCTCTACACACAACCCCCATAACGCTTCCTCCCTGTAGTATTTTATGGTGTTTTATTTTTAGGTGAAGCGCTTCTCAAAAAGTGTTTGGTTGGCGGCCCCCGGCCACTTGGTGCCCTACACACATTACATGATGCATGTGGGTGGAGCACCAGCACTGATGATCTGAATCGTCTTTGATTTTAGACGGCAGTCAGAGATGACCCTTCATGGTAGAAGCTAACGATGGTTTTATAGAGTAGCTACATGCTGGTATGATAAGCTGCAATTTACACAGATTTCTCATTAGTCGATTAATCGCCACAATAATTACCGGTAGTCAGAATAGTCACTGGTGGCAGCCCTACTGATGTGTATAGGGAATGGGATGACCATAAAGCTTTACCTGGTTCTTTGTAGGGAGAAAACACCAACTTCTCGGGGAGAGATGGTTGTTAAAAAGTAGATATGTGGGAGTCTGGTTCTTTTCCTCACCCATCAGGATCACACACTCCTCTGTTTACCTGTCAGACGGGGATCCACGTGAACATTTCAGATGAAGACGAAGTAGTAAGTAGGGATGCACCGATGGATCGGCATTTGATCGTAATCGGCCGATAGCGCCCCTATCGGTTTTGATCGGAGTTTTCAAAATAGATCAAAGCAGACCGATCAGGTAGGGTTGTCACGGTAACCAGTGTAGTGGTAAACCCCGGAAAAAAAAAAAAAGTTGACAATAATAATAACGTCTTGTTTTTTTTAAAAACTATATTATCTTGGTGGATTACCATGGCTGCGGTGTAGGCGCGGTGACCCTTACCAGCCACCTTATCATCGGCTGAAGTTGCCGGCGGCACATGCGCACTTTGTTGTTTACAACCAAAACTTTCTTGAAGCTAAAGCTGAAATAATGGTCAAAGGAGGAGACGGCAGCGCTCAGGAGGACATTTTTTATCCCTCAAAGAAGACAAAGTGGGAAGTACGGGCATCTTTTAGATATTTGAAGAATGCCGAGGGAGTTTATAGAAGACGGGCGGCTATCCTGTTTGCAGCATGTGCAGAAAAAGTGTCTGTGAAAGGCAGCATCGCTTCAAATCTCATGACACATCTGCGTGACCATCACCCACAACTCTACAGGCAAGGCAAGCTAACGTTAGCGTTTTAGCTAAAATGCGTGATCCGAGGATTTGGGTTGAGGGAGAATGCAACGAGTCGCTATATAAAGCAGCCGCAGCGCCGCTACCTGCATATAAACCGTGTCGCGGACACCCCATGTTGAAATGACGCTATGCATTACGGGGCTCCCAGGGGCAGATAAGAGTTGGTCTCTCTCCGAGAATAATTATGAATTTAACAATGATTACTGCCTGATGACATTTTCCCACATCTGCAAAGCTCACTGGAAGGACACAAACCGAGGACAATATTTTCCTGATATAGGGTTTATTACTCAAGTAAGGGTAAAAAAGTATCTGATTAGAAGGCTACTTGAGTACTGAGTATCATCTGATCTAATATTTTTAAAATGATGACATCAAACAGACATAAAATAAGAAGTTATGGGCAAATATTGGTATTTTAAAGACTAAAGGGAAAATGTAAACAAATAAACAACATAATTACAAAATAACACATTTTAGGCAAAATTTAGACCCAACCTGAGGACAATATTTCCTGACATACAGGGTTTATTTAATTGTGTGAAAATGTAGCACGTTTAAAAAAAATATACCGCGATAATACCGAAAACCGTGGTAATTTTGGTCACAATAACCGTGAGGTTAAATTTTCACACCGTGACAACTCTAATACAGACCATTTTAGATTAGGTTACATTTCCTTTATTCCCAGATTATGTAGTTTGTAGCACTCATTATAATGTTGTAGAAAATTTCTGGCCAATCCACGTGATCGGTATCGGTGATCGGTATCGGTGATCAACATTCTTTGATATCGGTATCGGTGATCGGCAACAAAAACCTGATCGGTGCATCCCTAGTAGTAAGCCAAGGAAAAACATGAGAAGGTGCTAATCAGACACAGTCGACGCGCACCAGCAGGAAGTAAGGCAGAAGCTTCCAAAGAGATGGTGTTACCAGACAGGCTGAGCACACCGCTGCTCACAACAGCCAGCTTCTTAAGCACAATTGTTTCATAACATCAGTAAATAGATTTATCCCCTCACAGATGCTTTCATGGATTGTTTTATTGTCCTGAAATTTTATTTATGAGATTTAAACACCAGGTTTAGACTCTAGCCATAAAAAGCTTTGAAAAACACACGAATCGGACTGATGTTTGCTCTTAAAATGGAAAGTTGGGATCATATGAGCCATAAAAAAAGAAGTGTTTCCTTGTCTCCGTGTGCCTCCAGTGCTGTAAAACCCAGAGGGATAACACGCTCTTAAATAAGTTAGAAGGCAGAATAGATCGGCCTTCTCTTGTGACTGTGGAGGTTCTGGTAGTCACTTCCTTTTTATTAAGACTCTTATCCCCTTGGGAATGATGGAGGACGCTTATGAGAGAGTACAGCTATCACACACACACACACACGCACACATGGTCATCTCACTCTGTTAGGAATAAAATGGTCTGACTGTCTTTTAAGTCTTAGCTGTGAAAATAGTTGATTTGAATGGTAATTTTATTGCTTGTTGCGGTTTTTTATTTATATTTTTCAGTTTGAGGACATTTGAAATCGATAACGATCCCTTTGGGGGAAGTTACGCTGATATGTAAGCAAGAAATAAAAGCATTGGAACATCAATATGGATGTAGTGCATCGTTATGAAACTGTTTCTATATATATGTTTATTTTTAATAAAAAGCAGCCGTCACTGGTTAGAATAGCACATCCTTGCTTATCCGTTAGACCTGTGATAATCCAGATTGACGAGCTGTAGCGTGTCCCTCCGTCTGACTTGAAGGTATGGTTCTCCGACGCTTTTCCGTCTGTGGAGACAAAAGCTAATAATGGGTGTAATGAATTTGTTAAGTGGCAACACTGTGCACAGCAAGTAGTCCAGACCCAGAGATTAGACTGCAGCGACGACGGCGAGTCTCAGTGTATCTGCAGGTCCTTAAAAAGTCTTAAATTAGCTTTTCCAAATTTAAGGGCTTAAAAATCCTTAAAAATTACAAATAATCCTTAAATAGTTTCCAAAGGTCTTAAATTACCAAAGACCCAATAAACAAGATTCTTTTATTTCTATAAAATTTTCCTGAATTTCTAGTTAGTTTGGCATTTTTTGTGTATGATACTGGCGTAAGCGGAACCGTACACATTTGGTTGGTTGTGAAAGGGCCGGGTTATTTTTAGATGAGCATGCTGGTGGGAGTTTGCGCCATGGGGAAGTGCAACATTAATGGTAACTGGATGGCTAATCCCACGTTCACGACGTGGTTAGCACCGGTTCCAGGCAATAGCTGGAAATTATAGCTTAAATTTAATTTTAAAAAATAGCTTAAATTTGGTCAAAGTGGCCTTAAAAAAGGTCTTAAAAAGTCTTTAATTTGGCTCCCTTAAACCTGCAGATACCCTGGAGTCTTCTGTAGGAGTATCCGTGAAAATGATAAATGTAATCAAATCGTTTGTCAGACGGAAATGTCACCGACTCGTTTAAATTGGGGAGAAGACGTTTAATTGGTCAATTAACTGAACAGTTGGAGCTACGTTAACAAACATGTTTTATTTTTTATACCCTGAAGTGTTTCACGGACTTGAAGGGAAGTCGTGTTTACCCTGAAGAGGTCGACAGCTTTTGACTCCACTCACTTCTCCTTTTTCCTTTAAGTTCCTGAATCTGCACCCAGTAAAGCCGTGATGACAGACTTGTGTTCTACTTTTGTCCTTGTCCATGCAGAGCGTTTTGACCACCACTGTCCGTGGGTGGGGAACTGCGTGGGAAGGAGGAACTACCGTTTCTTCTACATGTTCATCCTCTCGCTCTCCTTCCTCACCATCTTCATCTTCGCCTTTGTCATCACACACATCATTTTACGTAAGTGGCTCTCCTTCATGCGGCAGACACACACTCCTGCTGGCTGCGTTCTCGCTGAGTTCAGAGCCAGCAGGTTGTAAGTGGGCGGTGTGAAAGCGGCGGAGTTCTGGCTTGTCTCCGTCTTTCCAGCTGAGAGCAGGCGGTGGACCGCTCAGCTCGCTGTGTGTGTGTGCGCGCCCTATTTTAGACGGTTTGTGTGAAAGTGTTGCACCGAGGACAGAATATGAGTAATAATTTATGATTAATAGTCTTTTAACAACCGTGTTAAGTGCTGTTGCTGTCACTTTTTGTTTGAACTCGTAGAGTTGTGTGTTTTTTTGCTCACTAGGGCTAAAAATTCGATAGCATGATGATGCTTTGTTCGGCTTTTGAGTTTTTTATATTTATCTGTACAAGTCTGCAGTAGTTCATGTCTGGTGGCGACTTCTGTGGATTATATGCTATAATGTTGGAGATGTTGTGCATATTTAACTAAAATCATCTCCTTTCTTCTGTTTGCAGGCTCACATCGAAGCGGGTTCCTCAGCGCACTCAAAGATAGTCCTGCTAGATATCCTTTCCCTGATCTCTGAGCGATGCTTAACCTTAAAATTTACTTTTTTCCTCCTTTTTTTTTTTTGGTATTTCAATCTACATGCAGTGTTTAGGGACAAAAAAGCCATCTTGATGAGGCTGGGGAGCTCCGATGCAGAGAATCTTAAACCTGTGTTTGATGACCGTAACAATAAGCTCTTTTATCACACCCACTGAAGACGTTTCTCTTATTAGTATGACTTGGTTTTTATGATTCTTTTAAGGCTTGTTTAGCTGGTGACCTCTAGTCCCGCTGCCTGTTAAACTTACATTGTGTTAATGATACGCAGCTGCTGCAAACCAGTTACTGAAAATGTTTCTAATTAGCATTTTCTTGTCAGTTTCTCTCGCTGACGATCCTGTTTTCACTGCTGCTGCAGACTCAAAAAGACCAGCAGCTCCATTTTCTCTTGGTCGGTGGTTAATTGTGCCAACTTGCCACAGCAGAAGAGCTTCTCCAGACCCTCCGACCTCGGCGCAGAGCTCTAAAGCGTTAGCATCATAATTTAAAATCTGCAGGAAATAAAAAACAACAAAGAAAAAAAACGAGCTGCTTGAGTTATTTTGTTTTTAAATCAAAAAGGATTGTAAAAATGGATAAAGCTGCTCTGCTAAGGCCTTCATGCTTTTATTTAAAGGTGATAAACAATGATTTAGCATGATTTAGCTAAGCAATCCCCTTTGACAGATGTGCTATGGGTGGCTGTAGGTTATTTTTATAAATGTAAAGTGATTTATGAACTGTGAAGGTGCGTTTGTTGCTTTATGCGGAGCAGAGGAAACGAGCACTGCTCTGCAGCACCAGCCAAACGAACGGGTGACTGAAGTATTGGCAAGAGGACAGCCCTCAGGCTGTAGGTCAGTGTTCTTGCTGCTGCAGCTGCATTTTCAGCCTCCATGCTGGCTCCATATGGGACTATTATGCTTCTCTGTGTGTGTGAGCTCTCACCATTACCAGATAAATGATACAAATGGAGATGATTCCTTAATATTGTGGTATCACTGTGCTGGAGGTGGTGGTGTGTTTCTTCTCCGTTTGGTCCATAGTGGGCCTCTCAGGCTTCCATACCTACCTGATCAGCTCCAATCAGACCACCAATGAAGACGTGAGTATCAGGAGCGAGTACACATTGGCTTTTGAGTTGTTGTTTTGTTTCTCCATGTGACATGACTTTGTGTTGTAGCCAAATCTGAACATGTGCTCACAGCTTGATTGGATTGATTTCAACTCCGACTGCAGAAAATTTCACGTGTCAACATGATCCGTTTGCTCAGTGGGTTAGAGAGCTTCATTAATGTCACCAAGGTCATCGATTCGGCTTCATCTAAGGGACTGATGTAATACGCCGGCGATCATCGTCTGGCTGGTTTTAAACTATTCATAAATTACAAATTTTGATCCAGAAAGCTCTGACGGGGGTAATTAGCCGGCCAGCTATCTCTTTTTAGCTGTGTGGGATGAAAGGTGCACAAAGAAATGTGAAATTCTGATGTTTGTTCAGGTATAAACGGTTAAATATCCGGTAAATACACTGATCAATTTAGTGCAAATGACTGTTTAGATCATTCAAAACTTTCACTTTTAGGCCCACTTAAGTCATGTTTTTGTGAGATGCTTGAAGGCAGTTTAGATATATTTTCAACTAAAATGCTCATTAGTTGTTTTGACCCTTATTTAACATTTTTCTTAACAAGTAAAAGTCACATCAGAAGCTTCCTGGTCAGAAAAAAACTGTAGAAAACCTTTAGAAACAATTATGAATCACAGTTTCATCCATTTGTTTCAGAAGAAACTAAAGTCACCAGAAACTTGGCCACCATGCCGCTTAGAACAACTCTGTCCCTGGAGAAGAATCTGTGGATGACCTCTGCAAAATGCACCAGTGGTTTTCTTCTGCTTTGACATGAATTCATAAATGTCTGTCCTCTTTCAGATAAAAGGCTCGTGGTCTTCTAAAAGAGGGAAGGACAACTTTAATCCTTATAGCTATGGCAATATAGTCACCAACTGCTGTGCAGCGCTATGTGGACCCCTGCCACCGAGGTAAGAGTGTGCTCGTGCTTTTGCTATTTTTAACTGTTTAGAGGTCCTTAAAACAGCTTTCTTTTTACGTATTTGAGGGTCTCTAAACACAAAACATTTCTGGGGCTCAAACTGGCCAAACACAACCCCATAATAAGGCTCTACAATGGAAAGACCGGTTTACCCTGATGGCTTGATGACGCTGCCCCGTATCCAGATAACTCCATTACTCAGCTATGGATCTATCAGGCGTCCATTCAAAGTCTAGATATTCCCATTACCTCCTGGAATGTTACAGGTGTGCTCTGATATTCTTTTTTGTTTTCCTCTCGTCCAACAAGGATGTTAACAGTAGCTCGAGTTAGCGTCATTCTGTGGTCAGCATCAGGGTTGAGTGATAAATGAATTGACCATCTGCGATAGTCCGAGCCCTTTGTTTATAGTTTTTTCATTATGACACAACAAACTTCCATGTCAAATCAGCATCCTTTTGCAACACTCATTCTATGTGCATAAAATACATCATTAGAAAGCTAGGATAATTGTTATACCAATGATGTAAGCCTAATCTAGAGTAATCTAGAAGATAACCATGACTGTAGACACGGTTGACGCAAACCACTCAGAAATTTAAAATGACGTCTAACTCACAGTTCAAACTCTCATATCATTTCCAGAACAGAGCCATCTTGAAGCTTATTAAAATGAATCCAATTAAATGGTTAACTAGTCTTACAGTCACAGTCCAACATATTTTACCACTGAAAACCGTAAACTTTTCCTTCAGATGCGTCCGTTAATCATCGTAACCTCCATTAGTGTCCTATTTTAGCTTCAAACAATCAGTTGGCATCTCGCCTGAACGAAAAGTGAAACGCTAAATCGTCAGCTATTCACCGATAGGTCGATTCCTATTCCTGTGTTGTTTATTGACCCATAAAATAACCAGTGAAATTTACAAAACAACAATCTGAAGCTCCCTCGCGGCCGGCTGTCACAAATTGAGTTTGGACGATTATTATTTGTGGCTCGCTCGTTTAACCCTTTAACTCGTTCACTGCCATTGATGATTGTTGATGCAGGATTGCTCATGCGCCGTGAGTGGTTCTGGTACCTTTTGGGTCGCAGCTGCTCGCAGCGCCGCTTCAACAGTGCGATGCCCTCACGAGGGACGAGCAAAATTTCAAACACGCCAGAAGTCCGTGCGAGCTCACGATTGATCTGTACTGTAGCTGGTCACGTGGTGTTAATCGCCTCTCGTAACCCCCTGTACACTACACGACGCTCAGTGCAAAACTCGCCCCGATCTCGTGGATTCTCGCACGAGTGGAAAATCGGCTCAAAAAAGTGAAAAAGTCGCACAGTGCCCGCCCGGCTTTAGGCTTCCTATATGGCAGCCTCATGACGTCATACATGAATCTGCTCCCAACACAAACTTTGAGTCCTATTGAAGATTTTTTCTTGCTGAGCTGCATCGGTCCGAGTTACTCTGAGTAGTGTTCCTATAAAAACGGCTTAAGACACCCCAGGCTGCCTTTATTCAACAACAAGGTAAATACGGGTTTGAATTCTAGGACCCCCTTCATAAATATTTAAGGCTTTAGAAAGAGAGAAAGGGGCTCTCTAAGATACATTAACTCAAGACTCAATCATTTCACCATTTAACCTCTTTAATCCTATTTTAACTGTAAATTTTATTTTTGTTTTCTCCAAAGATCAAAGTAGAACCGTTCTCTGAGGCTTTGATGTGAGGAATTTGCCTGCAGCCTTTGCTAATTATAGCTAAAACGCCACAAGAGTGTAACACATTTCAGGCCCATTTTCACCCAATCTTGCAAAGCTGCCAAGGTAAATTACATTTCATCCTCTTCTATTTGCTCATATGCAGTCAAGGCAACGCTCATTTCCATGAAATCGTAAATATTGCAGAATCCTCGTGAAGTTTCAGTCATTTGCACAACAGTGAAACTAGTTTCTTGATCATTTTTAGAAGAAATACCCTCAACAGTCAAAACTCGCAGCATTTTAACTTTCTGAGCTCTTGAATGTGCCGGCATGTGCCCACACATTCGTTGGAAGTGTAAGAAAAGCTAAGGCGGAGGTTTCTTCGTGCTCCGGCCCCTGCCAGCCATAAATCTGTGGTAATGATTTCAGTGGGTGGTGAGGAGAGTCCTCGGTGCACAGGTGGCTGCCCTCTGGACTCGTCTGTTTGTGCTTGTGGCCACAGGCCCTGCACAGCTGGATCCAGCGGCAATAGAGGTTCCACTTCACATGTGGGGCGATTGAGCAACGTCCAGACGAAAGCCCGTTCTGACTGCATCAAGTGTGCGTTTTCACTACATCTGCTCCATTTCCATTCATTACTGTACTGTACTTATGCTTGTCCCAGTCTGTTAAATAATGACCCTGTTAATGCAGTTTAACACTTACGCTGACTCCGTGCATCAGCTGTAGATATTGCTCCGTATCTGATCAACCCCTCTCTGGCTGATAAATGGTCTCTGTCCCGGTAGGTAGCCCATTAGCTCTCACGTGTGTGCATGCATACTGGAGTTCAGCAGGTTGTTGTCCAAGCAGCTGCGTCAGGACTCTGCAGCATTAACGATGGGACAGAAACAATGATTCACTCCGCTGCAGAACCGCCGTGATTTATTGCAAAGTTCTGCTTTTATGGGTTTGGGTGAGGGGAAATATGATGTCCTGCACTCACCATCTCCCTCGTGGTCAAGACTTAAATAATGGGGTTAGTTCACAGCTTTATGCATCTTAGTACTTGGAGTGGCAACACAAAAGATCATTTTGACTATTATAATTCTGCCCACCTATGTATTAGCTTAGCTTGTTCCTTTGTTTAAAGGTTTTGTATCAAAAAGCCACGTTTACCTTGTTGAATGAAGGCAGCTTGCGGTTTCAAATGTACCAAAAACGCTAAATATTAATGTTGGCCACAGACAAATGGTTCGTTCTGAGGGAAACTGGTGTTACACATCACAAGCTTCGACACACACCATTAAATTTGCATATCCCGACTCAGTAAGATGATATCAATACACTAAAATATCAGTGTTTTGTATTGTAATAGGGCTTGTGATCACACGTGATTACGCATAGGATTCTGGGATGCCCGCAGACATGTTGATGAGTGTAAACCAACCATGAAAACAAACGGTACTGTCGCGGATTTGGGTGAATCAAAGTGTTAAAGTTAGAATATAGAAGATTTTAATAAAAGGCTATATTTAAAAATGATATGTAAAATGGCTGACTTGACAAGTCAAGCAGCTGATTCTGAGCCCAGAAGATGATCCCAAAAAGGATGCAGAATATACAAGGATACGTTAAATAAAGACATCAGGGACCATTATGTGGGCAAAATCTGCGTTATAAATGGTTTTGGTCCATATGAAAGACCCAAGACCGGAGCGCCGCTGTTGCGGCTATCACGTTTGTGATGTGAGCGGATGTAAATGTCCGAATGAGAGGTAAACGTTTCATTCGCTGGTTTTTCTAGTAAAACAATAAAAATTGTCATCCCACAGAAGACGTGTAGCGGGACAAGCTGTGTTGTGTGTCAGTGGGCCCGCACTAGCGTACCGGGGTGTGTGTGTGTGTGCATGTAGAGGTTGAAGGAAAGAAACGATGTATAAAAAAAGCACACCATCTGTAACTTACCAGAATGAAAAATATTCCAGAAGGTGATGTTTGGTCGCCTTACAGCTGTGATCCAAGCGAGCCAACGAGACTTTGCTATGCTAGATACTTGGTCTCTGTGGTGTTGCCTCCAAGCAGGAAAACGGTGAAGTGTTTGTTTTCCACCTTTATTTCCCTGGCAGTCACGTGTCAACCCACAACACGGCAATGATTTACCATAGTTGTGTAATATAACCAATAGGGATGTACGTAGTTAACCGGTTAATTGCCGTTAATTCGTTCACTGCCAATGACGACTGAAATAGTCATTTGCATTTTTTTTTACTGTGTGGGCATCGGAACGAGCCCCCGCACCGTGAGAACAAACATCCCAGCTCTAAAGCCGATCTTCATCCGCGTACGTCACATGTCTGTCATATGTCACCATTAGCATAGCCAGAAACTCATTTGTGGGCGGGCCTAAGAAAAAGTAAGTGGGCCCATATGTAATTGAAAACAAGTATATTTTTGCGCGCGCATGTCCTCCGCATGTGCCCTAGCTTCATAATAATAACAATGCGTCGAGCTTCAGCACTCTGGCCTGCGCACGCCGATATGTTCCGTATTTGATCATTTTTAATGGTGTTGGAGGAATCTGAAGGTGGTGAGTCATTCTGGCAGATTGTAATTAACACCCTGTCTCATGCAGGTGTTCTGACAGTGTAAACCTCACACACAGAACATTGTGGATGTAACTAAATAAATCAAATGATTCCCATTCAGGCTATTAACAGCGCGCTGAAGATCTGAAGTTCAGAGTGCATCTGTCAGAGGTCAGACGTGTTCCAGCGGAACCACGGCGCATGGGTGCACAAGTGAGCACATCTGGGCTGGGCAGAAATAATTTTACAACATTGGTTTAAACAGCGCCAATAACGAGACGCAGTGACTTGTGCGGCTTATGGAGCTGTGCCGCGCGCACACACACACACATACACACACACACACACACACACAACTCCGGCGCTGTGCTGTGCCGTCAGACTGAAGGCAGAAATGAGCGCTGCCTCCTCCGTGATAAAAACTTTTAAGAGGTTTTATAACATTTTTCATTCCAGGTCAAATTAAGATATTGGCTTCTATTTTGGGATGACGTATTAAAAAGTCGGGTCCGCTCCAGCCAGTGACTCCGAACCTGACTACAATTCATGTTACTGCAGCATTATTCCAGTCCGCGTGGTAGCGGATCGCAGATTCAGCAACACCAAAAAACAGCAATAAGTCGGTCTGAGGCAAAAGTGAACCTCATGGCTTTTCCATATTTTCCCCTATAGACATTTGATTACGCACAAGTAGGTGATCAGCTCAGGTTTACGCAGAGCAGAAGGAAGGAGAGCGCTCTGGCCACAGGTTAAACGTTCCTACTTTAAGAAAACCATTAAATTGCATTGTTTATGTGCTACCTGGGCACTCTAAATATTTATTTAAAATTAAATCAAAGGAAATTGTAATGGTATCGAATGCTTATTAATTACTATTTAAAAAATGAAAGTGATGGGGAAAAAGGTCGGTCATATTTTTAACCCTGTCTGTTTAGCTTGACGTCTGAGATATATATATATATATATATATATATATATATAGCCATGCCCTGACGTGGGGGGGGGGGGGGGGGGGGGGGGTTGCGTCGACATGGTCGGGACATAGAAGGGGGTGCGCGGCTAAATAAGTTTGGGAACCACTGTGTTAGGAGATCGTTTTGGGCCGCTGCTGTAAAAAAAGAAAGTGAGGCGTGAACTGGAAAAGCTTCTGCCGATCACAATTCAACAACAGATTATGAAAGAACGAATAAAGCTCGAAACGCGCGGATTCTTCCTGATGTAAGAGGTGAGTCTCCGGAGAGGGGGTTGCGTCGTTGATGACGTCACAATCACAAGCCCTATACTGAATCAATATTTAGAAGCAGTTAAGCATTTTTTACTAAAATTTTACATGCTAACTTTTACTGTACTAATTTAGTGCGGTGCACTTCAAACTCCGACATGTAGATGGCAGCAGTTTTGACAGCCTTCATTTGTAACAAGATCTCACAATAACACTGGGCGTGTCTTGAAAGCATCTGGCCCGTAGCCTGACGAGCCATCATGTACGTGTGAAGATAGTCTGACCACGACCCACTGGGTGAGTTCAGGTGTGGGACAAAATCTACGGTGTCTTTAAAACGGTCTGCGCATGCTATTGGACAAAAAACTACAGATGTCAGTCAACGGGCCAGTTCACCATACTCTGTCAAAAAGAGGCAGAGGCATTCTTTTTCTAAATAAAGGACTATAGTACCTCCATCTTATCTTGTCTCAAAGAAAAGCCCATGTCTTAATAGTCTAATGTAATGCTAGTCTGTCTAGATTTTTAGGCTATCTGACCGGAGTCTTCCAGTTTGGTTCATTCCTAAAAAAGCAAATATCACCTGGCTTTTAGAATCGCACCTGTTGTGATGTTTACTGTATCACCAGATTATTGTCAACGCACTCTCCCAACTACGTCAACATCGGCAATATATAAATGTTGGTGATGGCGTAACTAACCGCAAAACAATGCTAATCCAAGCTAACAGCCTTGTTGGAATGTTGGAGGGCTTGTATCGTTCCAGGATGTATTGGGAATATCCAGATAGATCCAGAGCTTGCCTATTGAGTTATCTGAATACTCGACCCAACTCTACAGTTTCTAGTTTCAGGCAGAGTCTTAGAACAGTGGTTCCCAACCTTTTTCCCAAGGGACCCGGTTTTTTGCCAGTAAAATTTTTGACGATTCCCCCCCCCCCCCCATTCTCTCTTCCAGTACAAACATTATTAAGAAATGATAAAATTGTTCAAGCACATTTTAATATGCTTTGATTCAATAGATAACAGTAATAGTAGAACAAAGTCATTAACAAAACCAAACAGAGCACAATGTGCTTGACAGTTTGTATTACTTTTCTGAACACATTGTTTCTTGTAAACACTGATAAATCAATCATTCCATTCAATAAACGTTTGACACATAAAAAATACACTGAGCAAAATGTACTTAATGTGTATATTACTGTTTATACTAGATTATTTACTGTAAAGGCTGTGATTAATCAACCAGTCCTATCTTTAATGAACTTTTGACATTTGAAAGTAAAACGGTGAGCTGAGCAAAATGTTCTTAAAAGTGTGTTGCTTTTTCTGTACTAATTATTTCCTGTCTTAATATCAGTGAACTTTTCACTCATGAAAAAAAAATGTGAGCAAAATGTAGGCTATAAACAAGTAATAAATGAAGTTTTAACCCCTTAAAGTGGAGAGGTCCTGGCGACCCACTGAGAGGCTTTGGCGCCCCCTTGTGGGGGTCGGGAGCCCCAGATTAGGAACCACTGTCCTAGAGCATCAGGGTAAACCGGCCAGTCAGCATGCAGCTCATTCAATATTTATGTCTTGTCCAATTGGGTGGAGTCAACCAGTCTTTCCGCTGTGGGGCTTTATTTTGGGGGTCGTACTTCACTATTTATCAGGGCTCCTGGGCCATTGTGAGTCGCAACAAAGTTTCATGTGCGATATGGTAAATCCTACGGTCCTTCCAACCACCACCTGCAGGCATAGCGCAGGAAGCGTCTTGCCCAAGGACACAACTACAACAGATGGGACGTGAACCAGCAACCCTCCGTTACAGGACGGGCGCCTAACTCCTCCGCCCGCATCACCGTTTCTTCGTGTAAAACAAAAAGTTGTTTATCACTTGGTGTTTAATCAACATTCTTTGTTTTTCTCTTTTAGTCTCATTGACAGACGCGGTTTTATTGAGTCAGACGCGCCACAGCTGGCACCGCCGACCAACGGCATCACCACGTACGGCGCCACCCATTCCCAGCAAAGCCACATGGTAAGGTCCTGAGTCCGACGTGAGTTTATCAAAGTACAAATACAGATTTAATGGCGGTAATGTTCGTTCAGCCGTACGTTTGGTTTTTATGACCTCAGATTAGTCGGCAGTCGACAAGATCAGATGCAGACATTTTTCCATCGGGCTTTTACAGCCAGATTCTCGGTTTAGTCGTTTAGTGACCCTAACCGGTAAAGGAAGGAATCTGCAGCGTGCGTCTCTTATGTCCTCCCCATAAACGTCCCGGTGTAACGTAGTTTCTGCTCCTTTCTCCCAGAGAATAAAAACCTCCCATGTCGTGTGGGAGAAGAAATCTAGTCTGTGCTGCTCACCAGATTTAGCCTGATAACGTTTTCTCTGGATCGTGGTGGCGGACAGGTCAGCAGTCACATCTGCTGCGTACGAGATGCTCGGTGTAGCCTGTAAATGAGGTCAACACACGCTGAAAGCTGACTCGGTAATTCTCTTCAGACCAAAATCTGAAAGGTTTAAGTTTTGTGCTGCAGCGACCCAAATCAGGAAGTGGATTAATGAGATGGCTTTTGTGATTTAGTCGTTTTTCGTTTTAGGAGAAAATGGTTGCTATGGTGACTTTAGTGCTTCCTGACACATTGTTGGTGAGGTTTAAGGTTTCCGCTGCTGCCTACAAACAACTGTTTGCTCAGATTGCTGTAAGTTTGTTGTTTTATTTACTGCGGAAGGTCTGGGCAGCAGAACGGGTCTCCTCCCATTCTAATCTTATTAAAGTGCACTTTTCCACTTGTCTAGACATGTTTAGGTGTAAACAACCTGTGATTGTTCAGATAATCGCCCGCTTCGGTCTGCCGTTTTTAGCTCCGTCGCGGCGAGACGTTTCCGTTAGCTGTTGGGGATGACAGCTCTGTTTCCTTGTGACAAGTTCTGTCGGTGATGCAGCTTAAAAAGGAAAAACAATCCCACTGCCTGCTGTGTGGAAGCCTTTTGAGCTGTTGCCATAGTAACGGTGTGCGATGTGAAGTCACGGTACATCTCGAATAAAACATCTCCTTCCGTCTTTATTTGTAATCAAACCTAAATGATGGCGTCGTGTTTAGAACAGAGTCTCTGTGGTTAAACACCACAGCGGCTTCGGTTTCAGTCTAACTTCCTGTTGGATTTTAGCTTCTTCTATTCCATCGAACTGTAGAGGAAAGATGTTGACATGACACACACACACACAAACCAGACCCACAGGTTTTATATTCTAGCCATTTTATTCATCATTTCTACGTTTAACAGAGAGATGAGACAGAAATAAACACGTGATGAAGCTGGGGAGAGACATGGGTCGTTGTAGCTGGTAGCTTAGGAGCATCAGGAGTGGACGCTCGTCTCCACCCAAACAGCTGTGGGTGGAGGTAGAACCTTAAAGTTGTGTTGTAGAGGAGATGACGGATAGATTTACAGCGTCTGTCGTCTGCTCTCTTTAGATGGGTGACGTTGAGGCTGAAAGGTGAGCGGTGGTGGTGAACCGTGGTGTTTTCGGCTCCGCCCTCTTGAACTCGCTCACTGCTGTGGGTTCTTTCATTCCATTGAGGGTACTAACATCTATTTTTCCTTTTCTCCTCCTCATCCAATCACACCCCCCCCCCCCCCCCCCCCCGCTTTTCACACCTGCTCTGTTCTGATTGGTGGTTTCTCTCAGTGTGACCAAGACCAGTGCATTCAGAGCACCAAATTCGTTTTGCAGGCTGCCGCCATCCCTCTACTCCAGCAGCAGAGCAGTGAGCCAGTCATCCTAACCACCTCCCCCGATAACGGGATGTCCCTCCCTGGCAGAACCCCCCTCGCACTGGTAGGTCCCTGCACCTCACTTCCCCTGGGCCAGCCTACCCCACCCACCTCCACCCCCAGTCTCAGCTGCCACGAGGCCGCCGACATGCAGCTGATCCATGGACACACCTACGCACTAAACCACAGCCACTATCTCACCCCTGAGGAAGTGCCCTCGCCGCCGGGCATGCTTCCCTGCAGCAGCCCCCTGAGCCACGGCGTGCCGGCCAGTTTATACGACCCGGCCAGCCAAGACTCGCTCCACGAGGACTCCGTCCGAGGGTTGGTGAAGCTGAGCTCCGTCTGACGGCGGTTTCACCCCACCCCTCCTGAGCTGGAGCAGAACTGACATGAATCTGTTTTTAAATTTCAAGGGAAGAATAAAGTATTTTGTTCCAGGAAGTATCGAGTTTTGGAGCAAAACACAACCTCAGGTCAGAGGCTGCGTTTTCGTCAGTGAATAAGGTTTTTTGTGTGATTTAAACCTACCTGCCTGTTGCTAGTTGGACTGTGATGCCTTTTTTGGGCATCATCCTGCTTTTTCTATGGAAAGAAAATCAAAGACTGTTGGAGCCACTAATTACAACCACAAAATATATTTCCTGTAGATATTAATAAAAACTACTTTTTATCAGTCTGGTGCTTTTCTGTTGCAGATAAAATCACCTTCAAAGTTAATCTGAGTTTATAAAGAAAAAAAACCCTGATGAAGATTTACCTTCCCTGTTTTACGTCCTGCCACCTTGTGGTTAAACTTGAGTACTGCAGCAATTATAACTAAATGCTCAAGTCAGATTGTAGATTTAAAACATTTCCCCCACATAATCCTGTTTCCTGTATCAATCTACATTATGAAGGGCTGTATCTAATTATTGCTGAATATAATTTAGGTTATTTTTACTGTTTTATATCTAATGAGCTTCATTTTTCTGCACTTGAAACTGTAAAATCAAGTGCATGCAATGCTGATATTTGTGAAACATAACTGATACTGTTTATCAAAAGAAAAGTACAACTGTGCTAAATTTCTGTTATTTTAGCTATGCAGTAATTTTTGGGGGCACAATGTCGGTAAACTCAGCTGCTTTGCACGGTCCTGTTTAACTTTAAAGGCTGTAACAGGAAACTGTCGCAGCTTGATGTTTCCTGTCGTGTCCCTGGGTCGGTGAGAGTGCTGGACTAGCTTACCTAGCCTGACCTGAAGCCAGCGCTGATGCTTTCAGGTGCAGCATCGGCCGTCTGGCTCACTCCGGGTAAACTAACTTGGCCCACAGCTGAGTCACCACAGCTTCACGTCGATGAGCTCCAGGTCTCCCATGATCTCCAGCTGGTCGATGCTGCTCAGGTCCTGCACCCGGTGCCTGAACTCAAACAAGTGGGATCCGTTTACCGCCAGCTTGAACTGATGGGACTGACAGAGGAGCAGAATCTGTGGGGGGGGGGAATAAAAAGATAAACAACCCAAACAACACAGAAGGCGAGAAACCAGAAACAAAACAAGTTGTTGGTACCTCAAAATATTCCCCGGATGAGAAGGGAAAGTAGAGCAGCTCCCGCTCCTCCTGACCCCAGGACTCGTCCAGGTAGGAGTTCCTGATGAACACGCTGGACTTCATTCGGGGGTTCAGATGGAGAGCGATGTTCTCGGTTTTACTGTTGCAGAGGTTTATGGTGAAGCTGGAACAGATTCAGGATCAGATTTCATTATAAAACTAGTTTCCTGTAACGTCGCCCACAAAGCAGCAGCCGTGTTCCTTTACCTGTGGGGGTACAGGCTGACCTGTCCTCTGATGGTGATGTGCTGACCTGGGCTCAGTCCCTTCAGTATGCTGCCTTTGTAGGGAACGCTCTGCAACGACAACATAACGGTGGCCGCTCATGAACTCCGAGCCGGCAGTGTCCACTTGTGATCCGGTTTTTATGGTATCACAAGATACCAGCTGTTAAAAAATTTACTCACCAGGTCACCTGACTCTGAGTAGATCGCCTAAAATAGAGGAAAGATTCATGTTTATGAGGGAAAAATAAAGAAAAATAAGAAAATGAGACGTGAATGTACCGAGTTTGGGATGTAGCCGATGGCGTGGACCCTCACGCCGCCCGAAATAGAAAACGTGTCGACCACGTTTGGACAAACTCTGTGTTTGTACTCCAGCAGGTGAGTTCCGTTTACGGCCACCTGCAGGCGAAGACAGATCAGTTGGTATTTACCTCACCGTGACCGACGCTGAGGGTGGGCTCATTCACCTTAAAACCATCTTTGTGCACCAGGATGATGGTTTCGAACGGGGCGCCGCGTTTGTACGGCAGCTGGTGGAGCGTCTCCTTCTCGCCCCAGCTCTCCTGCAGCAGGGAGTTACACACCACGCTGGGGTAGTCGTCGAAGCAAGGGCGCAAGTGGAACGCCACGTCAGAGCGGGGTTTGGTGCTGCAGCCGCTCGACAGGTCCACCTGAAAG